CATTAACTCACAAATTTGTTAATCCACAAATTCGTAAATCCGCAATTGGCTAAATGCATTAATGCGCAAATGCGTGAACACGTGAACGCGTTAATTCACAAACACATTTGAGCTCTAAATAAAAAAAAAATTGCATTCTCTATAAGTGAAGAACAGGAGAAAACAAATTTAACTGTTATAAAAAGATGATTGATGGTACCATATAAGTAAATATTTTTATTGAGTGGTGAATATCACTGCACACAACCAATAATGCTCTTTACTGGATTGGTTTTTTAACGCTTTTTATATGAATAAATATAAATTAAATAAACATTTAAAAAATAAATTAATATTTATAAATTATTTTTGATGTGAAACATCTTATGGCACGGTACAGTAGTGAGACCGACTGTGGTGTGGCCACGCCCCACTCATAGCTCGTCGGCTCAATTCTCCGAAGCTCGGCGATTTCCTCTCTATGTGCGCAGTATCAGCTTATCTATATTTATACGATTTATAAACGTATAATATGTACACCTATATTGTTGCGTATAAATAAATTGAATGTATATTACGTTGATTTATTATAGTTATTATTTTATCATATCATTTATATCTTAATCCAAGAGAACCTACCACCAGATACGGAACAACAATAGATGCTGTATTTATTAGATATCTTGATAATGTTATGTCCAATACTTTTGTAACATACTTCAGCTACCATCGACCAATTATCACAGTAATACCGTCGTCAAAGGCAACATTGAATGTCACTATTACCGAAATCACTGATTAAACGAATTAAGTAGTTACGACTTGAAATAAATTCGTAAATTTTCGTATTTAATGAAAATAAATGTTTATTAAATAAACATTCATCATTATCTGAAAAAAAATCGTAATATTTTATTTTATCATTATGACATATTTAGTTCCTATCGCAATCTGTTCTTTTCTGCATATTACTGTTACAAAATAATATTGATGTTTCACATCTGCCAGGCGTCCCGTGATAGCTTAGGTTATTTAAATATTGCACATCATTATTTTAAAAATATTTAGTTATTATTTTAGAAAAAGTTTAATTAGGTTAATAAGTAAATAAAATTATAAAATTGCTTATTACAAATTATAAACAGTTAACATTATTGTAAAAAAAAAAAAAACAAATAAAATAACCTAACCTGAGCTGTCACGGGACGCCTGGCAGATTAGGATATTTTTTTTTCAGATTAGATACTTAAAAAAATGTCATTCGAATTTAATTTTTATATATTGCTTTAATATAATGGTGCACCTATAGATTTTACCCCTGCCCACATCAAAAATTTGTTTTCATTCAAATATATATCAAAAATATAATAAAATGATGAATGATAACTAATGTTTTTAAAAATATAATTATGAAAAATTAGTGATAATTGTTTACCTACTCGTGTTTAAGGAGAGTAAGACAAATATGTAATCCCCTTCCACTACAAACATAAATCCCAAATATATTTTTGTAGACTACAGTAATGTAATCTTAATAGTAATTTGTGACTAAATTTTAATTCACTATATTATATATCTTAAAATACAGTATAAAATTTTATTTACATAAATATGATTATTTATCAATAATAATATCAGAATTTGATGCCGATTGTAATGATACCATCGTCTAGGAGATGTTTGAACGTACAATTTTTCTGAAATATTATTCAGAACACAACGAAAAACATGCACGAAATGTCTGATCCGAATTCTTTGAATCTGTGTGCTGACTTAACAAACGTCGAAACCATCATGAAACACGTACTGGAAGACATTATCGCTACGATACTGAAGGAACACGATGAAGATCATTAATTGATTAGCGATGATGATTTAGAAAGAGCTGTGGCAGACATCGTACGCTCGATTGTTGACTGCAGTTATCGTGTCGTGCACTTCGCAACCTAATTAACTACCTATACACATCATAGACGATGTATCCGACGAAAGTGAGGGTGTACAGTCAGATGAAGACGACAGCAGCGGCAGTTGAACAATAGTCGACAACGTGACGGCAACCGAAGTGATTCCGGCCAAGGACACGATGACGGAAGTGAGGAATCCATCTGGTAACCTGGTAGGTTGGCTCAACCCAGAAGTGCAAACTGCTCCTGCAGCAGTTCCACGAGACCGAATGACGCGATTCGCGACTTCCGACTTCCGTGTGGAAAGGAGTTAAACGAGCGGCCGGTTGCCTAGTGATGTGTGGTTGCTATGGACCACCGTCCGCGGAGTCCTATGTATTTTATTCTTAGTCGATAGGGATTCGGACGAGACGACACCGATAAACCTATAAAAGACCCACACGTTAAGTGCAAATCATGTGTACACAAACAGTCTTCTGAATGGTTGCCGTCACGCGAAACCCTTCACAGTCAGCTCCTCTCGATAGACGTCCGGTTGCGCTCCAGACAACCAAAGATAGTATCCGGTCCATTGTGACTCTTGGTTTTTACCGGACGAGTAACAGTCTGGTTGCCACCGATACCGCGGTCAGTCTTCATTTGTTTCTTGTTTATTAGCCACTACAATATTCAGTTTTATTGGTTAAATAAAAAATAAATAATTTTTTTTCTATTGGTTGCGTTCGAATCGTCAACTTAGGTCACATACATCTCACCACTCATTGTGGTTGGGCCTCATCTGATGTCGCATTATCGTTGGTCCGTTGCGGGCAGAACAACTTTATTAAGTTGACTAGTGGTCCACGATTGGTCACGCATCTGCATCCACTGTGAAATCACGTATTTTATTATATAATATTTTGTAAAAAAATATCTATAATAGCAATATAAATTTAATTAAATTTGTTTTAAATTATCATGTTAACTTGCCAAGTATATGATAAATAAATTTTTGCTTGGTGATTAATTTTTATTAAAATAAAATTTAAACATAATCTTATACATTTATAAGCATACTAAAAATCGTTAGATCATTTTTTTCAAGATAAAAATATGATGATCATTGGGCGATATGAATAGGCAATTTGAGTACATTACTGTTGTTAGTGTACCTTTTAACATCATTATTGTAAATAATTATGAGAATAATTACAATATTTAAACCAGTGATTAGGCAGATATTTCCATAATTTATTAATGTACAAAAATGTTCTCAAAAATACTAAAAAATTAACTACAAGTACGAATAATTAAAATAAAATTTATAATTGTGACTTGAGTCTACATAATATAATATCGAAAAAGACTATAACGTCCAAATTTGAACAACAAATAATTATGAAAAAATAATTTTGTTTGCATACTTTTTGATTTTTTAGTTCTAGTATGAATATTTTGACATTGTATTAAATTTTCATTTTTTGACTATAAAAATTGAAGATCTTATAATTTTTTTTACTAGAATAAATATTTATAGATTTTAAGTTTTTGTGATTTCGACGAATTTTGTAAAAATGTTAGCATTAAATTCATAAATATTTAAAAACTTGTACATATTATGTGTTTATAATAATTTTATATACTATACGATCATAAGAACTACTTAATTGAGAACTTATATTAAATTTTCAAGAATTTTGATCAAGCGAATGATTTTCCATCATCATATTTAATAAAAAAACAAAACTAATAAATTTTTAAAATTGAAATATCTATAAATAGCTTCAAAGAGGTCAAAATTATGCCTTGTATAGAAAATGCTTATATAAATATTTGATAATAATTCTAAACATCTACAGTTAAATGTTTTCAAGCTAAATTAATCGTTTGAAGAGACGTAGTTATTTCACTAAATTCGTTAATAACAACTATATAACAAACCCTGTGTTAAATTTTCAAGCTTTTTAATTTAGTGAAAACAATTTTATCAATATTTATTGAAAAAAATCTAAAAAATTGCATCATATTTTGAAAATAATATCATATAAATTCAATGTCAGCATTAAAATATAGAAAATATTTCTTGTATCTGCGGTTATTCGTTTTTGAATTATAACATTTATAACAAAACAAAACAACTAAGTCAGTTTTATCAAACATTGTAATTGAGTTAATAAAAATAATTATAATTGCGTTTCTTCATAATTTAAAGTTTTCTCCAAAATATGATTTTAAGCGCAGAAACAGCATATAATTTATAGTGCAACAATACATTCAATGCAACGTTTGGAAACAAATATAGTTGAGGTGAAGTATATCTAAAACGAATAAGTATTTTTTTATCTGGATAACATTTCTAGATATCATGTTATAAATTTTAACGCAGTTATTATCTAAGCTTTAAAATATTACAGTAAATTAATTGCGTTACGTACAATAGTATATATTTTGTAAAAAATTATAAACTCATCGATCACCAATATATTGGTAAAAATAGCTTAAAATACAATTTAAATAATAAAAAGTATTTGATAAGATAATACAAATGTTTAAATTATAATTAAATATTAATAATTAAAAAAAAAAAAAATTAACGAGTATGAAATATGTACATAATATTATAATGACATATAAAAGTAGGTACTTGTATTGTGCTCGTTCATATTTAAAAAATGTGTTATTATATTATGTTTGTAGTAATAAGATATCTTTATCATATAATTTATATAGATAGTTAAAATTAAGATGTACCTATGACTAGAAATCAGAATTAAATTACAATGGAATAACATTTACATAGGTATATATTTTTATTTATTAACCTACTTTTTAATTCATATTAAAGTAAATAATTTAATTGATTAATTAAAATTTAACTCAACAATTTTAGAGTACACATGTTAAGTGACTTAAAAAAGTTATCTCTAATTTAAAAAAGTGGGAGTTGTAGGTTTTACATAATTTTATCATTCTAGAGTATACAACATTTAAAACTGTGTAGTAGAATGAAATTTTAAGCATATTGAATTAAGTCTTTACTATTATAATTAGATAATTTATTATATTATACATTGTAAATATATTTTATAATTTCTATTTTATTTCTAGTAATTTATACATAAAATTAATTTCATAATGAAATTTATCGTAATTATACTGCCACTAATAATATTTAATTGTATCAAATGTGAATTAGATAAATGCTTTCACTATGACGATTACCCATTTTCTTTCTTTGCTACAAAAACTGCATATAGTTATGTGTCAGCCAAACAAAATTACACTCAACCAAGTAAGTTGCACCTATTATCATATTAAATAAAATTTGATATTGTTTGAATTTTTATAAAACATTTTATTTAAATACCTTTAAAATGTGTATGAACTGTAATTTTTAAAACAAATTTTAAATATAAGTGATTCCATAATTCATAGTATTTAATTCTGAGGGGTTTCAAATCTATCAAACTGTTTAACTGAAAGTCTTTCACCACTATTATTTAACGAAACTATCCATAAGGACCAATATATACCTACACAATTTTAAGCAGAATATTATAGTATCATATCTAGCTATAAAAATTTCCACTATCGTTTCCATTATAATTCAAACACACATTAAAAATATTTGAGTATTATCAGATTATTATAATGTTTTTAAGTTAGTGCAGTTTTTGAACGTCTGATAAATATGAGTGATAACAACTATTACTAATATATTTTATTATTCTATATATAATACTCTTTTTCGTATTTTATACAATTTATGTAAATAATTAAATTGATGATAACTAGTAATTTCATAAATAAATCGTAATATAATTATAATTTTTGAATAGATTGTAAGGCATTGCAATTGTGGCTGTTGTCCAGGCATGGTACGCGACATCCTAGTAGAACTGTTATTGATAAAATATCGAATTTAAAAGAGTATACCAAAATCATAACCGATAATTCAAGTTTATGCAAAGAAGACTTCGATGCGATTAAAACATGGATTTTTAATTTGACTGAAAAAGATGAAAACAAACTTAATAGTCAAGGTGTTAACGATTTATTGTCTTTGGGATTAAGACTTCAAAGTGTGTACGAAGATATATTCAACCAACCTTATAATCCTATAACATACAGTGTAAACTTACAATTATTTAACGTTTAACATCATTGAATATAAATTTAAAATATTATGTATTTTCAGGTATTATCATCATCTCAAGAAAGATCAAGAGATAGTGCATTTTATTTTTTAAAATCTGTCTTTAATATGAATGTTACCGACATACCATTAATAAATAATGATGATATAAAATTAAACGTAATTTTTATTTATAATCCAAATAAAATAAATTTTTCTGTATTCTATTTAATTAAATTAGTGATTTATCCTACTTCATTTTTAGATATCCAAATTTGAAAACAAACACGATAACAAAGAAACAAAGAAATTTCGTTGTAGTGTACACATGCAAGAGGTAATTGTTAGAGTATCGAAGATTTTGGGACTGGATCGTAATCTGACATTTAGTAAATCTTAGAAAATAAATTTTATTTGGTTTTAAAAATTTAATTTGTATTATGTATACTGTATAGATATTATCTTGTAGATACAATAAAAGCTATGTATGACTCATGTAGATATGAAAGATCATTAAATTTAAATTCTCACCCAGCTTGGTGTGCGGTATTTTCTCAAAAAGATTTAGAAGTAAATACATCAATGATATTTTTAATCAATCAATATTTGTTGTATAATGAATAATTACTATATAATATTATAGGTTCTTGAGTATGATGAAGATTTAAAGTATTATTACTCAAACGGATATGGTGACCCATACAACGAAAGACTTGGCTGTCCGATTATAAAAGATCTCATGAATAACTTCAAGTGCGTATACTATAATTACACATATTTTTATTTATTTATAGGTTACTAGTGTTTTTTTTATTTTCATAGAAATAAATCTCAAACACAACTCGGGCCAAAAGGTGTCTTTTATTTTGGTCATTCATCGAACGTATTAAGTGCAATTGTTAGATTAGGATTTGCCAGAGATACTTTATTTCTACTAAGCTCAAACTTCAATGAAATGCGAGATAGAAAGTGGAAAACATCATATTTGAGTCCTTTTGCTTCAAATATTATGGCTGTACTTTATGAATGCAATGGTGTGAAAAAAGTAACATTTTTTATCAATGAAATTCCAATGATCGTGGAGAGGTATGGATGTACATTATGTCCGTGGGAGTTGATCGAAAATATGTTTGATCCCATTATTTCTAGTCCATCCTGTATATTTGATGAAAATTCGTCAGCTTCTGATGTATCTAGGACAATGAATTTAGTTTTTTTCACTTATTTATTAAACATATTTTATTTTTTTTGATTATTCTAAAGTTTTTACTTAAAAACAATAACAGTTCATATCATATTTATTATTTACATAACATATTAACTTTTAGTTATACACTTGAAATCAGACTACATACGTAATTATGAGCTTGAAGTAATTTAAATGAAATACAATTTTGAATTAAATTTTATCAATTATCAAGTACTTATGTGACAATTATAAAATTATTTATTTTATACTTTATTGAATATCTATTAATTTATATTAATTATCACTTACGAATTAATTTTTTTATACAAATATAAAATTATATTTAGACATTTGGCGATTGCATTATAACGATTAAAAGAGCATTACTCAATGAAATATGGAAAATTCACAAGATAATTTATAATATTTTAAATATTAATACTAATATAGGTATTGAAATTGTTTTATTTATACTTACAATGTATACGCCAGTTATATACTAAAATATTTACGTTCATAGTATTTAATTATTATAATTTATTTATTTTTTAAGTATTTATAAGATTTCAATAATATCCCTATACTATTATTTGATTTATTTATTTATTTAAATTCAGCTTCAACTTATCTATACTTCGAGTAAGTACTTGAAGTTGATATGATATTTTTATCATACTTCTTTACTAAATAGATATTAAAAATAAAAATTCTATCCATCTAAAATAAAGAAACCTGTAGAGTGTAGATTAAACTGTGAGTGTTTCATGTTAGTTAGAGGTTTACGTAAAATAGAACAATATTATAAGAAATTATTCTTGTTTAATACTAACGTAACACAACTTAATATAATAGTACTTAATCATTCAACATCAACTCTTTTATTTTAATATTATTTTAAACAAATAAAATTAGTTTGAGGAGTCATTTTTATATCTAGTTTTTAGTGACATAAGAACTTACAATCTTATTTTCTATTTATTATATTGCGTCTTATAAGTAAATATTATAATAGTTTAGCTTAACCCACGTCCTTTATTTTATTTAGGTCATATACTTATTTTTGTTATGTTACGTGAGCCACAATAGTCAAAATATTGCAATTTAGTTTCCTATTTTTGTGTTAAACCTGTTAAGAAAAAAAAGTGAAATGATTCAGAAAAATTAAACATTAAACACAAATTTATGACAAAAATCTATTTTTAATTTACTTTGTATAGTGACTAAACATGTTTCTTGAAATAACGTGCACGGTGTATTTTGGTTTAAGCGTCATTCTTTACAAAATGTTATCACTTTTATTTTATTTTTTTTTTAGTTTCATAAATTTCTGTCAACAATGATACATACTTTATTTTAAATAGTAAATTTTTAAAGATTATGACTACACTAATAAAAATAACAAACCAAATATTAATTTTTTTATACACCATTCAATTATTTGTTGAAAAATAAAAAATAAAATAAGAAACTTCAAACCTGTACAAATAATAAAGTTTTTTAAAATAGATTTGGTCTAGAGAAAGCGGGGTATACAAATTAAAATTTAGTGATTAAATATGTATCTGTAAAAAAAAATATATAAGATTTGTGACAAACCTATAGAAATATCATTACAAACATTAACATAGTTTTTAGGTCGAATGTTCAATATGCGTATCAGTATAACGTAAATTATCAAAAAAAAATGAGTCTGATAGATACTAATATTAGCACTTAGTGTACCCAATAGCAATTTTCAAATGCACAAACCATAAAATAATCTTCCAAAAACATTATTTCAAAGCTCCTTCTCATAAAGCTAGTCATAGTTCATCAACCATAAAGTTTACTGTAAGTATTATTTTTATAACTCAATCCTTAATGATAAATATTTAAGTATTTATTTTCAATATTCAGTTATTTAAAATATAAAAATAGTTAGATAAAATAAAAACGGTCTTTAGATTAAACCAACATAATATTGTCAATAAATTTTACTATGTATATTAAAATTTAAAGTTATGTTAATGAATTTTTTTTTTTTACATTTATTTTTTAGTGTAGACTTATCGAAATATATTGATTGATTTTTCATTTTTAATATGTTTTGTGTTCTTGTTCATACAAAAATAAACATAGACTCTAGAAATTTAACAATATCACTGATTGTTTAAGTATAGGTACAATTATAAAATTATCAATATTTTATAACTGAAAAAAACTTAAAAAAAAAAAAAAAAAATCCAGAAGAAAATAAATTATTTTTAATACTTTTTAAAGTAACCGAATAAAAAAATTAAAATAATGAAAATCGTAAAATTGTATGCAAAACCAGTATTAGACAAACGTTTCTTTTCATCATATAACTCAGACTATGTGTATCTTCAAACGAATAGCTTCAAGGATTCTGATATTATCATAATCAAACTAATTTATTTCATACTCAAGGTATAATGCTCTAAATAATTTTTCTCTTTTTAAAATAATTACTTAAAAATCAAAAATTTTTAATTTTTTTAATTTTAAATTAACAACTTGTTGGTGGTTTAAAAAGCTTAAACATTGAATACACAAAGTTCCATATAAGTTGTTTTCATAGATATTTAAAAATATTAAAGATACATAGGCACGAATACACGATTTTCATCATAAGAACATGATGTTCAAATGTTGATAAAATTCACAGAAATCACGAAAATTTGCAAACAATTTTGTAATTGAAAATTGATATAATGTTCAATTTTTATAGCATAGAATTAAAAGTTTAATATTCATTATTAATACTGTTTAAAAATGTAAGAAATATAGAAACAAAACTTTTTTTAAAGACATTTTATATTAAATTTTTATTAAATAAGATACATTTTTTTTATGAAGAATAACAATCTTATTTTTTATTTTAATTAAAAAATATCATTCGTGAGAAAATGAAATTTTAAATTAAAAAACTTTTACATCAATCAGCTTGGAAATAAAGTTTTTCTAGTTTGTAAAACCTGATATACATTTGACAAAAGTAATAAATCCCTAGTATTTATTTAAAATTATTGGAAAATATTAAATTACTTGGAGATCAGTTCAGGGACGGATTGGAATTTCGGATTAGCCTAGGAAAGTAACTTTTTAGCGGTCCTGCACTAGCAGTCGTTCGTTTGGTTGGGAGTTTGAGCGCAAGTATACCAAGTGTATTTGTTTAGTTATGGAGAAGGTTGTTGTGTTACAATGACAAAACATAACAGTTGAAGTTTGATTTAGTTGCCTTAATGACAAGATTTTAATAAAATGTCGAAATGACAAAACACAATAAAATATGTAACTTAAAATTATAAAATTGTACGATGAAAGTTATTTTACATAATAAATAAAAAAAGAGACGGTAAACGCAGAAACGAGGAGCGTACTGCCCGAGATAACTGCAACGACGAGCGCACTGACGCGAAATCACGGGGAAGTCGGACTGTTTAACAGTTGGAGCAATTCCGGAATAGCTCTGACTATTACCCCATTGACTGTGGGCGGCCGATAGAAAAATTTGTTATTTTATACGTTGGTTAGACAAAAACAACACAACGGGTACGATATCCTCTTCAAATATGTAAATGGACATTTATGTATTCAGAAATAATTAATTTAAAACTATAATATTTAAAGATCGAGGTTAAACCTTCTGTTTTAATCCACTTACTTAAACGTTTCAATCAATTAAATTTTTAAATTAAAGAATATATTTATTTTTATTAAATTTTTACTAAGTTAATACCCTATTTTTGATTCTTTAAAAGTTAGTAATTTTATTTGTACAAAGATCGAACCATATGGCATGGCCTAAAATGTGTGCACAATACGATTCGCTTAATAAGATATTAAAAAGTGTGCATTAACCACGTAATGAAATTATTAATGTATTTAATTTTTATTAATGTTTTTCATTATAAATTTTTAATTTGATTTCAACTTATTTTTTACGGTGTTATGGTTAAAATGGAATATGACTAATTATAATATTAAGTTGTTATTTAAATTCAATGATCTACAATGCTTCATTAAGAATTATAATAATTGTTACACACATATTTGCCCTAAGTCAACAGTTTCGAATGAAAGTAATCTTACCTATATCTTATGCACAGAATAATTTATTTATTTTGTATGAATTAAATTGACAAATTATTTTTGTTCTACTCATTAGAAATAGACAATAGCTAATAAGTAATAATATTATTCAGTTACACAATTGAACATGTTTATATTTCACGTACCCTCATATATATTATATAAGTACTCATACCTTCCAAGTGAAGCGCATAACACAGTTAGAGAACCATTGTATCTTAATGTATACTTATATTTTCAAAACAACAAAGACTCATAACTAAGGCCAAAAATTATATACCCTAAAAATCTATAAAATATGCATGGAGTTATGCCTTAAAATTTACCAAAATATGCCCTTAAAATATGCTCCAATGCCGGAATACTCCAACCCAATTTTATCACTGGACGCACACCACAACAGTCCAACGAGATCCCGTCAAGGCGGGGAAGTCCGTTTACCAACAATGCGTAAGTCTGCTTGGGTAGGTCTTATTACAACGCTGGTAAAGTAATGGTCAGTCGTTCGTCGTTCGCATGGCCTTTTATGGGTGCCTTTTCGGCGGTCACATTACTCCGGTCCCGTGTTCTGTGACAGACTTGAACAGATAGGTGCCGTGTTCTATATGACGGAAACCGGACTAGCGCAATTATTGCCGAAAGTTGCGAATAACAATACAATGATAGATATCAGACTATAAGATAAGGTGTAATAACAATAAAAAAATTATGATAATACTGTGACCAAGAGATATGGCGTAAACAGTATTGAAGATGGTATTTTTTTTCTTTTTATTCTTTAAAGGTGCAGAAAATAATTATTGATAATTTATGGTGTTTTCATTGTTTCAATAAAAATAATTATATTATAATATATTAGTGAGGTTTGCATATACATAGATTTAATAGATACTCAGTTGTGATTATATATGATTTTTAGTTAAAAATGAATTTACTTTAAATGTATATGTACAATGTACTTATACACTGTTTGAAAAATACTACAATATTACTTTTTACTTACATACTAAAATACATATCTTATTATTAGCAATATTATAGAGTACCTATAGAGTATAG